AATAAGCATTAAGTCCCGCCCCCTTAATGTAAACCAATGAGACATTTCCCTGACTGACAGACAAAACTATACACACTGACTCCTGTAGATCCTCACAGCGGTTACCTCGCACAGGATGTCAACAAATTACTTTATAAAATAAAATGATCTTTAATAAATTAAATGATGTGAACAGGATGTCCTAGCTTTGTTTTTGAATGACACAAATCATTTAGCTAGTCTATGTTGAAGCTGTAACCCTCATCTCAGTCCAATAATAATGCTGTGAGTGTTAAATGGTACCAAGACAAAGTCCATCATCATTAAACTGAACAATTTTCAGCCCTCGGACTCCACAGAGAAAGAATTTCACCTGTTAGCCAATGAGCTTAAGTTTGTAGTAGTTCACAGGGGTCAGGTGGGCAGGCTTCCTGTGACTCAACCACAAACCCGTCCCAATAAATACTGTTTCACCTAAAGATCTAAAGTCACATTTTGAGTGAAAATAAATGTATTTGCAAGTTACAGATGATCAGATTTCAAAACTCCTGTGGTATAGGAGAACCAACGCATTTATCGTCACTTTTAAATCAAAATATTTCTATTATGTAACACTAACATTTCTAAATAAAACCAAACTGCGGCAACTTTTTACTTCTCACACGTGGATCTGGATGTTTTTCGCGTGTTCTCCTTGCTCGTGCTTCTGTGACATGCTTGTGTCACCTCGTCGCTCCTTTGAGGTCTTCTCACTGACTCGGTGAAGGCAGTGGCCAAAGCCTCGTCTGGCTCTTTACATGAATCTTGACGTGTGTTTCAGGATTGTCCTCGTGTGATAGAAGCCGTTCTTCTCACGTTTTAGCCTTTTTACAATGTGAGCTTCCATAATGTTCTGCTCTACATTGACCATCAAACAGGTAGTACATCTCCCACTAGCAGCAACGTTAGCTCAAAGAGAAGATAATCTGTGAGGTTTCAAATCAGAGAGGCTTTCACTCCCTTAGAAGGAAAGCTGGATGACAACGTGTCTTCTTTGTACCCTAATGGGCCATTCCCATCTGTACCGGGTCGGCCCGGGCCGGGTAGCCCCAGTCGGCCCCAGCCTGGCCCGGTTGATTCCACACATCCTTGCCTTAAGCCCATGTGGGCTGATTCTACCCACCAATCAGAGGCTTGCTCTAATGGAAGGTGTGAATTTGCTGTCAGCAGTGGGTGTGTTGGCCCTGGTCGGCCTGAAGCAGACCCCCTCGAGAAGAGGGCTGAGAATGAGCCTTGGTTGGCCCGGAAAAATACCAGGCCACCCAGATATGTAAACAACCTACGCTACCCGGCCCGGGCCGACCCGGTACAGGTGGGAATGGCCCATTAAATAGCTCTGACTCGACCATTTTTAGGTATTGAACCAGCCAGCATGCATAGGTGTGCCCCATATGGATATATATGGGCAAACCCTACGGGTTACATCAGGGTTTGTCTGCGGTTTCCATAGCGGGCCCATGTATGAGTTATACCATCTGGCTGGGATCCTCTAAAACCGTGTAGGGCCCAATAAAATCTATGTGTGCAAACCCCTGTGGGGCCATCATAGAACTCGAGGACAAACCCTCTTGGTGCCCATATGGTTTTCCCATATGAATCCATATGGGAAAACCATATGGATTCATATGGTTTTCCATATGGGGCCCACCTGGGGTGAGCCGGTGCAGGGTTAGCTGAGACTCTTTCACAACACCGGATCTGAGCGCTAACAAATCATGCTAAGCGTTTCACCAAAACACCATTTCTCATCAGGAGACACTGGTCCAGAACTCTGGCGTGAAGAATGGCAAGCAAAACACAAATAAACGCTAGGCCTTTTGTTTCACGACATTTTCTTTTGCTGAAGTATTTTCTGTCCACGGGTCTCGCGCCTACGGAGCTTCGAGGCTTGCTTCAGACAAGAACGCAGGTTTTGTTCCTGGTGATCCTGTTTCATTTGTGACGCAACAAAACAGCAAACCCTCGCTCAATTTTTCTGAAGAGTTTTTGCAAATGAGGAGATTTTTTTCTTTGCATTTCTGATAACTTTCATTTTAAAGTTAAAATCCTATCTTTATCCATTTAAAAATTCTAAAATTTTACGATATTATTGACCTGCATACACTGGTTGTAGTATATCAGGCATATCAGGCTCAACTTCCACCTTATCTCCAAAGGATGTTTGAACTAAGGGAAGGAGGATGTAGTCTAAGAGGAACTGGGATTTTCAAAAAAAAAAAGAATATTAGAACCAATAAAAAACAAAGATGTATAACAGTAAGAGGAGTGAGTTCATGGAATAGCCTCGAGGATAGATTAAAAAATTCATGCTCGTTGAAAATATTCAAAAAGAGTTTTAAAAATAACGCCTTACGTAATTACCAAGTGCACCAAAATTAGTTTTGTCACACGTTTTATACCTCTTGATTGATTTCAATTGTTTTTGTTTTATTCATGTTTATATCTCTTGATTGATTTTGCTGAAATTAGGATGATGCATGTAATAACTGTATTGTTATTTGCAGAGCCAAATATTAGCCTGCTCTCAACATCACACAATAACCAGTTCTGAGAAATTTATTTACTTTTGATATTTATGGCAATGTTGATTTTTTTTGTAATGAATTGATGGGTAGGCTTAAATAAGTTTAACTTCAGCCTATACATTATATCTAAAGAAACTGTTTAATTTACAAGAGGAATTTGTACCTGTGATAATTATTATTATGTTCTTTATTAGATAATTACTTTCCTTTTCATGTGTTTTATATGTATTTGTTATGACAGAAATAAATAAATACAAATATAAAATACAAAAGTTAGGAGCGGGCCGTTTAAAAACGCATCTACGCTTGATCCTCTCCTGTTTTCTGCTGGTCGTCACTCAGTAAGACGCTCCTCCTACACCATGGGTCAAAATAAGAACCTGGAGAGTAGAATTAAGAGTAGACGCCGACTTAAAATAACCAGGAGTTACTGCAGAAATAAGAAACCAACTATGTTTATCATTTGCCCTGTAGCCCGTTTGAAAACACTCACACAGTGAAATTACTCAGCGCCCACCAGCAGAATTAAAAGAAAAGTCAGAGTGAACTTAACTAGCATGCTGCTGCGGTAAAAGTAAACACTTTTGGGCTGCTGGCGATAGCATCTGAATGTTTGACCTGCTATGTGCACAACAGCTGCTGTGAAAAATGCAAAGGGTGTTTGTTTCCCTCCTGTTGGTGAAGGTAGTAGGAGTCACTGTGCCGGATTAAAAAAAAACGGTGGAAATTTGACTGGAAAGCATTTGTTGCTTGTACTCCGACTGAATAAGACGAAACATGTGTAGTTTGGAGGGTTTCCTGTAATGTTTACGTTCCATCAGCGGGAACAGCTCTGTGTTGGTGTTTCTATAGTAATGCAGCATAATAGGGAAGGCTGTCAAAAAGTCAAACAGCTAAAAGAGAAAAAGAAAATCCTCAGGCCCATTACTGGGAGTTCAACAAACATGCACACATGGTTAACTGCCTGCAACAAACTGAAAATGACTCTTTATGTGTTCTCAGCCCTCGCCAAGCTCACCCATCCGTAAAAATCCCATCTCAAGGAGAGCAGAGGTGAGGGCTCGCTTCCCTCTCTCCTGCTCTTTCTTACTTTCTCCCTCTTGCTTACAAACGTGCAAACAAAAGAGCCCTTCTGTCTGTATCATAACTACTCCCACAATTACTCAGACGATTACTCAGATCAATGGTTTGCCTGCCTGTGTTCAGACTCCCCCCCCCCCCCCCCCTTCCCTCCTCGGTAGAGAGAAAAAACAAAAATAAAAACCTCCAAGCTGAACGCATTAAACAAGAGTGTGAGGCACGGGGACAGGATAGCGTAACATCACGCAATAGCACGGGGGGAAAAAGCAAGACTGGCAAAACTTGTTGTCAGTCAGAGCTGTCACACGAGAAGGAGTCACACCAGAGTGTCTGGAGCCTGCACACCGAGTCCCCTGCTAATAAACACTTCCTGCAGCAGCGGCAGACAGTAAAAGAGCCTAACAAGGGGTTGAGGGTGATTTCATGCTCTCTATTTAAAAATGACAATACATGAGCACACTTAATTACACGCAGGCTCTAGTCTGGATCCACTGAGTCTTCCAGCGGAGCAGAAACCCGGGTGTTCATTAAGAGCACAGAGGCTCCTCTTTCTGCCGGAAACAAGCTGCTTCACGTGTTCTCACGCAGAAAAAGACAAGGAAACTCAACGAGGAACGACGGGAAGAAATCAGCACACGTCGTGTCGAGACTTTGGCCTACATTTCCGATTTGTTTTGGTCGTGACAAAATGCAGCGTCTGTGTGCAGAGTGTGTAAGCGCAGTGAAGCGATTCCCCTCCGAAGCTGGTTCTGAGCCTCTGCGATGTTGTTTCATCTCTGCTCTTTGCCCCTCGTCTGCGGCTCCCTCACAGCTCCGATGTAACGAGAGGACGGCAGAGCCAAATATTAGCCTGCTCTCAACATCACACAATAACCAGTTCTGAGAAAAGCGCGAAGGGCGGGACGACCAAGTGACCTCCGATGTGTCTTTCCCCCCCAAAAAACAATCTGCTGTTTGTTTTTTAATGGGATTCCTCTTTACAAAGCTGCATTTTGTAGTCACACTGCTATTCCCCCGCCATCAAACGCAGCTTTGAGAAAAGCAGACAAAAGACAAAGACAGGGCTATAATTGATGGCTCAAAGCTCAAGCTTTCTCTCTGAGGGTCTGCTCGGGTCCTGATCCCCTGGCCTCGACCTGAAACAATCACTCTTAGTTAACGACAACACTTCAGCTATCGACAGCATGATCCTGTAAAGCAGACACTTCAATCAGCAGAGCAGCCGCGGGAGGTGTTGTGTTGGAGGAGAATGAAACGGGGGGGTGGCGTGGGGACGGATGAAATCAAGAGTAAATAAATGAATTGATGAATGAATAATAGATGGGCCAGCTAGTGGCGACTTGCAGCAGCAATGCAGTATTAATAACTGGCTCTTACTGTTGGTCTCTGTGTCATCACTGATAGTCTTAGGTGGACCGTGGCCAGCATAACACACTGCTGATCTGTACATTCGATCCGGATTACGAACTTTCTTCAGTCCTTCAGGAGGCAAAGAGAAAAGTAGAGACAGTGGAGAAAGGAGAAAGCACACCCCCACGCAAGCAGAGGCAGTTACATCAAACAACACAAGAGCTGCGGGCAACGTGGGATTCAGATCATACAATATCACAATTCAAACTAAAAACACCTAAATGCCCCACTTCTATCCTTACTAGGGAGTCAGTAAGTGAGGCTGAAGCTGTGAACCTCCTCTGATGCAGGTCAGTGATGTTTGTGATCGCTCGCGTGTTAAACCGAACCACCCCATACGATCAATCGGCGACGGCCGTGCAAAGCGGTCCGTAAAGGTCTGTTACGTGCCGGCGTCGGACGCGGCGTGTCTCAGCAGACGTGCACAGGTAGCGTCCTCCTCATCCCTTGCTGATCCAATTAAGAGGCGCGGCAAGAACGTAGCACCTGACAGGACGTGGCGCAGGGGAGCGTGACGTCCGGCGTCCTCACGCAACGGCAGGGACATTCATACCTCTGCTGCACAAGCAGCTCTGTGGGCTGGTGGCTTGGTGCCGCTTCACCCACAACTTCGACATCAGTGAACTTTTTTTTAACTGCACTCGTTTGAAGAATAAAAGAGACGGATGATTCTCTGCTCTGTGGAGTCTAGAGGTCTGTGTCACAACATCTCCAACAGCGTCCTGTGATGACTGTTTCTGTTGTCACTAAAACGCCACCTAGGGTTAAACGCCTGCATTAATCACAGCGCCCATCCCTCTGTCGTTTGATTTACACCTATCTGTTGTTTTAAGGGACGTGAGAAGGATGGAGAAGTTTGCTCCAGCCCACAAAAATCAGACCGCGTTAAAACTCAGCGTCAGAGGATTAATGGAAAGCTCCGGCTTGTCTTTGCAAATCTTCTTGTTTCATTTCTCACATATGAGTCGTGTAGTGAAATATTTGTATAAGGCTCTGCTCTGGTAGAGTTTTAAGACCGCAGGCAGCGGTTTTATCCAGAGCAGTGTCATTGTGAGACATATCAAGCCTGTCCTCTCAGTGCCCTCCTTGCCTTCTACTTAAAGTCACACACACACACACACAGAGAAAGAGAGAGAGGGTTTTTAGGGAGTGTGAAAGGGAGTTGAAATACCCCCCAGGGCCTGGAGGCTTGGCAGAAACATGCCAGGACGTAAACATTACAACAGAGTAAGTCTGGGTCGTGGCCCCTCACTTGTCATAAGACCTGCCATACGAGCGTGAGCCGTCAGCGCCGCCCGCAAGGACACAACAATGTCCTGCTTCAGCGGCAGCTGCTGGACACTCGGGTACATGCCACGTTAAACCTGCTAGTGCTTTCAGCAGGAACCTCTTAAACAGGCCCAAACCCCTGACATGAGACCACATAGCATTTACATAAAGCTACGAAGCAATGCCTTTCTCCATCCCTCTGCTCCCCTCCCGCCTCCTCCGCTTCCCACTGACCGGCCTCACAGGAACACTGAAAATAACTTGACCTGCTCAGCAATGGGACCTTCAATTCAGGGTTTTCGCTGAGGGCTCTGCGTGTCGGAGAGGCGTTATCGTTCCGGTCTGCTGCCTCGCCACGCCGGCCTCGTCTGTGTGCAGGACTGTACAACGCGCTGAAGCCGCTGCGATCACAAATCCAGATGTCTTCATTTTTTTATATCATAGTCTCCTGACAGAGCCCTCATGGAGGTGCGCTTCTTTAGCTCAATAGCACCCCCTGGTGGGACTCGCTTCCATGGGTGGCACACTGACATCCAAATCAGGACTAATCCCTGTTTATAGCATCCCTTCCTACACTTGGATCCCTTTAAAGCATTTAAATAAAACCGTTGTTTAAGGTTACTGACACTAATGTCTGACGGGCCGCACAGCCTTCAGAAGTCTTAAATTTATGCTTGTTTATCTGTTTTCTCCCTTGCTGAATGGGTGCAGTCAGTATAAAGTTTAGATTTGCTCTTTTGCTGCACTTTGTAGGTCAGAAACTGGATTAAGAGAACAAAACCAACACAACTTTAGCACACGTCAAACCTGAGCGAATGAAAGCAGCCGTACACATGCAGATGAAGTCAGATCCGTCAGAAATATGCAGATTAGTCAAACACCGCACGACTCTCCTCATAAAAGCTATTTATGAAAGCTTGTTTTGCCTAATTTTCATGCAGGCGCTTTTTAATTACTCACCCAAAAACTCCATGGGCCTTTCTGAATGAGAGCAGATCTCGCATGCGTGCGAGTTGCAATCAACTATTCCACTAAAAAGGAAATAATTAAGTCTGCATTTCGTTTTCAGTCAGCGAGCCGTATTAAATCAGCTGAGGGGGGGAGTCGTCATTCTGTCCTGTGTGTGGAGTAGTGGGCAGGCTGCTCTCCCTGCCTCCCTCCCTCCCTCCCCCCTCTGGTGTGATGGCATTCCAGCCAGCTGATACCCTGTTCTGGTTTTGTTTTGGGGTTTTCAGCCCAAATATGGGCCAAGAAGTATTACCACGCCATTTGGAGAAACCCCATCACCACCTCTCGCCTAAAAAATGCGTCTGATGTCTCACAATAACACCGTTGCCAGAGTCTCGCGCTTGAATTGGGGGAGCTGCACGCGCCGCTCCAGAGATGAAAGAAGCCGCCTAACAGCAGCATTTCCTAATGGTTATTTCAGCGCCGTCAAAACAAGCTCCGGGTGGCAGGCGGAGGAAAGAGTCGGGAAACTAACGGGAGCTCGCTGCTTTTGCTGTCATTAACTCAACCGCCTGGTTGGTAGCAACTTGTCGGTTGACCAGAACCCGGAGCTCGGCACTTTCCGCCCACGCTGCCTGCTCGCGTGTCCCCGCGGCGCGCTTTCACCGCGGCTGGCTCCAGAGCAGGCTAATACTAGCTGGCTAGTGATGTCTCCACGTTTCCGCTGCCGATTCGGAGGAAAACAGCGGAGACGTTTTCCGCTGAAAATGTCTCCGCTTTTCCTCGCGCTCGCGCCGTCAGCGCGTGGAGTTGCCTCTGTTGTGCAGAAAAAACGCCGCGCCGCCGTCATGTACTAGTTAAATTAATCCCATTATGTTTCTCTTACCTTCCGGCTTGTTTTCGGCAGCCATTTCCCCTTCACGCGCAACATCCTCCTCCTCCTCACGACCGTGGGTACCACGCGCGTGCACGGCGAGGACAGGCAGCACGAGGAGGGACCGGAGCAGAGCGGCGTCGGTCCGACCGAGGAGAACTTACCATTGGCTGTGAGGCGGTGACTGACGGAGAGGCTCGGCGATGAAAAACAACACAGCTCCCCTCACCTTGGCACCTCCAGCGGGCGCTTTTCCATTTTTTTATTTTATTATGTTTTATTTAAAGCAGCTCGGCGCAAATCCGACCAGACGCTTTTGGCAAAACTGCGACTAATTATGATGAAAATAAAGATTTTCTCAGGTCATTCAAACGCATTCAGGTTATAAAGGATTTCACATTAAAGTGGTTTGATCCGCTTATTTTCTACGAGACAAAAATACGTCAATTTAACAGTTTTGTCCAATGATTTTGATTAAATAATCCTTTGCATACCTTTCTATAAACTATACTTTCAAGTAGGTTCAGTTTCTATTTACTTTGTTTTCAGTTTCATACATTTTACCGTATTTAAAACAAAATCACCTAGTTTTAATTGAGTCTGTCATTTGGTTTTTGCTCATATTTGTGTTTTCATGAGAGCTTTCAAAACGAGCAAACTAATTTCACATAAGGCAATATGATATTAATGTCTGCAGTGATTTCATCAGTCATGGGATGGAGTCAGTGCATAATCCACAATCAGCACAGCTATTTTAACCCTGTATGTTGTCATTTTGTGTTAACTTTTATTAAACAGATTCACTGAAATACGTTCAGGAATCTCTAAAAGTCTCATATAAAAATTGCATTATTCAGTAACAGAGAGTATTATGTTATGGTGCAAATAAGACTGAATTAAATAAATCCCTTGTACTTAAGAGTGGTATGCAGACTACTAGAAGCCGTAAAACTGAGAAAGAAAAGTCTCTGCACGTAAAGGCTGAAGGTTGTGGTGCTGAAAGAACAGCTCCCCCAGCCTGCAGCCAGAGCGCATGTCCGGACTGAGTGTCATCATGTATGTATATTTGCCTATTTCCCTTTCTCTAATTTCCCTCTGGGATTAATCTCTAATTTCCCTCTGGGATTAATTTCTAATCTCCCTCTGGGATTAATAAAGTATTTTTGAATTTTGAATTGAATTGATATACAACAATCTAACCTAATAACAAGCACGTTTATTTAAAACACTTAATGTCAATAAAATAATTTGTCACACTAATTTTAATTGGGTTTGGCTGGACATTGTAGTCAGCCTTCCAAATATTACCCACAATTATCTAAAAGGAATTTAGATAAAACGTAGCATATGATCGATCGCTCGTCCTACTATCCTCCCATGAAAACATTTGAAACTAGATTAAAGGCTCGTTTACACGACTTTTCCCCCGCCCGACTGGTTTTCTAAAACCTTAACTGGGGAAAGATCTCCAGTCCAGTCCAGGCTGACCACTATGGAGCGGCGGCTCCTCCCGGCCACCAGAGGGCAGCAGAGGCGCCTGGTTGGTTGTGTGAACAACACGAAGAAGAAATGACCGGGGGGAAACCATGGCGTGTTCCTTGGACGAGGATGAGATCAGCAATGATGATTATTATTCTCTGCTAAATGTCCGGAGAGAGGTACGGCGTGTGTTTGAGGTGTGAGCGGATGTCCGCGTGGACGGAAAGGTCGGCTGCTCCAACATCGTCCCCTGGCTAATATTTAATAGCTGTCTGTCCAAACTAGGAGCAACTTTAGCTAGACGGCTAGCCTGTGACCCTCGACATTGAATGTGAAGTGGTGGGAAACTCACTGGAAGCTCCGTCTGTTGTGGTGTGACAACTCTGTCAGGTCGAGTGGGGATGAGACAGAAATAAACCGGATGCTGCGGTGGGTTTTCGGTAGGGACAGTTAGCTGGTGAGCTAAGTCCTCTCCAGCAGCCATGGGGCTGCTAACAGGCTAATGCTACAGCTGAAACTGTAAGTTCAGGGCTCCCGTGCAGGTCGTGAGCTTACTGTAAACATGGGATCCGGGAGTCTACCCGTCCTCTTCAGAGCCACCTGGATCAGCATAAACGGTGTTTTACTGGACTCATCTAGCGTGACGGGTACAGTTTTAATGTCAACAGCTGGTATTGCTCTAATGAGGCAGAAAAGTAGTCGTTTCTACGTAATCCAGTAACTAGATAGGATACTGTTGCAAAATAACACGTGCATTTAATAGTGCACATTTCCAGGTGCATGCAACAGTTTAGCCACAGTCAGAATTATTGTGTGTGTGTGTGTGTGTCGTGTTACCAGACAGATTCAGCTGGTCAACATGGCCGCTGGGTGGGGGGTGGTGGACATCTCTCCATCTTGTGTAGGACATTCTTATTCTTCCAGGACAGAGCATCTGCGTTTGGTGACCTCAGGACCACGGTGGCAGATGACTCTCATGTCTTTAGAGGAGTGGTGTTTTCTAAACCCAGGGATATTCGCTTTTATTTGGTCAACATCTCATGCTAGTAGGCTGGTTCGGTTGTCCCCCTTGTAGGACAGGTCTCCAGATGATCACCACTATCTGTGTGGCTCATCAGCGAGAACAACCAGGGACTCGGGATGGAGCCCTGAGGAGCGTTAGGAGGTCAGGCAGCCAGTTGCTCAGAGGGGTAATGAAGCTCAGGGGACTTTAACTGGAGAACCCTGTAAATATTTACATTATGGGCTTTATTTCAAATGGGAGAGGACAAGCGGACGAGCTGAGCAGATTTTTAACGGGTATGGGATTTGTTTTAAAGACATCTGTAGGACTGGAGATTATTGCATATTGTTGTTTCATGTTTCCCGTTCTTCTCTTCTGGTAGAATAAATAACAGTTGTTTAGTTCTTCGTAGTACGAGCTGCTGAACCCAGAAATGTAATCTGACTAATTACACTAAATACATTTTAATGTAGGAGTGTACTTTTGAGTAAATTGTCGTTTAAAGTAACCGTTTAATTTGAGTCCTAGGAAGTTCTAATCTTAGAAGAATGTGTCAGAACCTTGCATCAAGTAAGGCCCAAAGCGAATCTCCTTCATAAGCCCGTTGACACGAAACCAAACACGGAGGACTCTACCTTCTGTGTGTTTTTCTTCTGCAGTTCATCTTCTAATAACCTTTGTCGCGATTTTCCAAGTTTGCTCGCGTTGTTCTCATGAACATCCTCTCAACTTCTCTGATTTGCCTCAGGCCACCCAGGAGGAGCTGAAGGCCGCGTACAGGCGCCTGTGCATGCTCTATCACCCAGACAAACACCGAGATCCTGAGCTAAAGCGACAGGCGGAGCAGCTGTTTAACCTCGTGCATGAAGCTTATGAAGGTAGGACGGCAGGCTGTACGTGGACTCTGTTCTGTTAGAATCATATTAATGCCATCCGTCTTTTCCCAGTGCTCAGTGACCCACAGGCGCGAGCTATCTATGATATTTATGGCAAACGAGGACTTGATGTCGAAGGATGGGAGGTAGGTGTCTCGTTGGTCAGCTTTCCCCCTAAAACCTTTTATTCCAAACGCGGTCCTCGTTTTTATCCTCCTCTAAGCTGTTTAGGACCGAAGTACAGACCGACTACAGGCAGGAGAAGCCCTTTGGTACCGGCTCAGTGGGCTTTGGAGGCTTACATCAACAGTTCCTAGACAGCCTTCATGCATTTTTAAAAACTCTGCATACTTAATTTGTTTTAAATGTCGCATGTGTTTGGTTTGCCTCGCGCAAACTGTTCCAAATGTCAAGTTAAGGAGAGGAAGCCTGTTTTGAACATTTTATTTGTTTTATACAGATTCTTGTCTTGGAGTAAAGAAGGTGTCGGTAATTCAAGCCCGTCAGAAACAAAACCGCTCCTCTTCATCAAAGCGTCTGTTTAGTTTCAACACGACCCGGTTTAGTTTATCTATGTTGATGGTTAAACTGGGTTTAGCGTTTTGTAAACCAGGCACGCTGCAGTAGTGTGCTGCTGTAGAAAGAAACGTCATCATCTACATCCGCCTCTCCGGTTTAGCACGAAATGAGTAGTTGTTGGGTTTACGCTAACCTTCTGCTGGATTCCTGCTCCTCCAGGTGGTGGAGAGGAGGCGAAGCCCTGCAGAGATCCGGGAGGAGTACGAGCGTCTTCAGAGGGAGCGGGAGGAGAGAAGGCTGCAGCAAAGGACCAACCCAAAGGTACAGCGCGGGATGAGAAGCCTGACTCTCAGGGGATAAATGCTCTTACTGGTGGATTCTGTGTGAATGCCTTCACAGGGGATGATCAGCGTGGGCGTGGATGCCACCGACCTGTTTGACCGCTACGACGAAGACTACGAGGATGCGGTCGGAGGCGTCCCACACATTGAAATCAACAAGATGCACATATCCCAGTCCATAGAGGTTTGTTTCCGGTTTGGGCCGACGCTGGGTCTAGTTCTCACACAGACGCTCATGGCTGTGTGTGTTCTGTCGCAGGCTCCGCTCACTACAAAAGACACGGCCATCCTGTCCGGTTCCTTGTCCACCCACAACGGGAACGGCGGCGGCTCCATCAACCTGGCGCTGAGGAGAGTCACGTCAGCGAAGGGGTGGGGGGAGGTATGCCGCGTGCTCTCTTAGGCTTATGTCTGAATGGATCTCAGGGAAATCGCTGGAGTGGTTCATGTTTGGACTCAGGTTCTAGCGGCTTCCGTCAGCAAACGTGTCTACAGCCCAGCTTTACTGACGGTGAGCTCAAATGCTGTATGCTAGCAGGAAGTCATGCTAACACAAGCTCACAGCCAGGAGGGGGAACCCCGCGGCCTCTGAGCGCTTTACAGCCCTCAGCACCTTTTTATCCGGAGCAAACAGAGTAATTGTTAACTCAGAGCGGACGAATGTCGACGGCCAGCAGTATTCTCTGGTAAAACCGGCCATAGTGCACAAGATCAAGCCTCGGTGTGGGATACGACCGTAAAAAAGAAAAGTGGCTGCTGAATGTTGGCTTTTCCAGGAGAAGTAGACCAGTAGGTAGTAGGGCTGCCGCAATAATCGCAAGAACAATATATCACGATATTAAGAAACCCACCGCGCTGCATGACGTGCCACTGCAATTACCGCACTTGATTAAATCTCGCGACAGCGCATGCTGAGAGGTCAAGTCCGCGCTGATCGAGGAGATAGTAGGGCACTTTTTTAAATTTCTGTTAGATGTTGCAGCCAAATTTGCATTTCAGTGTTAAACCTCCTGAATGTTGTTTTTAAGTTCAGTCAGAGAATGCCGTTCCTGCCCTTTGATCTGCGTTCAATAAAGTGTTAAAAATGGCCATGTATTTTTTTCTAACATTTTTTAAATGTGTAAGCACAATGTTTCAAAGGAAATATTGCCATGAGTTTAGTAATTAACAAACAAATTTGCTAAGTACATAAATAAAAACGGGGTGCAATAATATCGCAATATTGAGCTGCCCTGACTCACCGCAGGGGGAATTCCTCAATCGCGACAGCCCTAGTAGGTAGTTAATTTGCAGCAGAGTGCTTGCTGTGACAAAGGCGTCCAATCTGGAAGCTGTTTTAGGATTTAGCTCCCTGAACTGGAAGGATCGATGCAGACCGATAAAGTTGCAGCACTCGTTAGGAGTTTGGATGACCAAAAATCAGAGTTTACAGCAGCAGCGAGCATCAGAGCAACGGGATGGGTGAGAGTTGGTGAGCTAATACATCGTTTATGCTGAATGCACAAAGAGAAAACAGTCTGCTGTACTGGCCTTAGGTCTGGAGCTTTGATTCTGTTCTCGTGTTTATTTTGAAAGGTGACAAAAATGCATCCCGACGTACTGAAACGTGCGTTTGTTTGCAAAGACACGGATTAGATGATTTTTCTGTCTGGCCGCTAACAGGAACGTTTGGTCCTGAGTAACCCGTCCTGATGCTCCGTGTTTCCACAGGTGGAGCTCGGAGCGGGAGACACGCACGGACCTCTTTTTGGAATGAAGATATTTCGGAACTTGACGCCTCGATGGTAGCTTTAGGATCAAGTGTTGTGGGTTTCCGGGCAACTGGGACTTGGTTCTACCCGTTGTGTGTTTCTGTGTACTTCAGCTTCGCGACGGCTCAGTGCGGGCTCCAGTTCTCCTCGCGAGGCGTCCGTCCCGGCGTGACCACGGTGCTGGCTCGCCACTTAGACAAGAACACTATGGGTTATCTGCAGTGGCGCTGGGGGGTCCAGTCCTCCATGAACACCAGCATAGTGAGGGACACAAAGAGCAGCCACTTCACCTTCGCCGTGCAGGTGGGCGCCGCTCTTTAGCCGTAAACGAAAACCTGCAGCTGCTCCTCACACTTTTACTCCTTCTCCCTGTCGTCTCCGCAGCTCGGCATCCCTCACACGTTCATGATGATGAGCTATCAGTACAAGTTTCAGGATGAAGACCAGACCAAGATCAAGGGCTCCCTCAAGTATGTTGTCCCAGTCTGACGTGGATGATGCAATCTAGTCATAAATTCGTATCTGATCAGGCTGCAACAGATGGAAACCGAAGTCGACCCCCCCCCCCCGCCGCTCGGTGTTCCACCCTGCAGCTTCCCTCAGCGCTGTTGTGGGTCACGCTCTTGTGTCCTGTTCACCACAGCATTCAGAAACACGGCGGTGACCATAAGCACCCGAGTCATAATTGGACCCCGCTCACTGGTTGTTAAAGCGGTGTGGCGTTGGTCAGGTGTTTCACACGCGGACCAAAAAAGCTTGAATAATAACATTCTGGGATTAAGTGTGACCCCATTTCCTGGTTACAGGGTATCCGCGGGTCCTTAAAAAGTCTTAAATTTACTTTTCCAAATTTAAGGCCTTGAAAATCCTTCAAAATGACAAATAATCCTTAAATACGGTTTCCAGAGGTCTTAAATTACCAAAGACCCAATAAACTAGATTATTTTATATCTATGACATTTTCGTGAATTTCCAGTCAGTGTTCAGCATTTTTTGTGTACGATGTCGTCGTAAGCGGAACCGTTCACATTCAGTTGGTTGTGAAAGGGGGCTGTTTTTAGATGAGCACAAGCTCCCACTAGCACATAAGCTAGTGGAAGCTTGTGCCATGGGGAAGTGCAAGTTTAATGGTAACTGGATGGTTAATCCCACGTTCGCGACGTGGTTAGCACCGGTTCCAGGCAATAGCTGACAATTATAGCAGAAATTAAATAAAAAAAAATAGCTTAAATTTAGTCAAAGTGGCCTTAAAAAAGGTCTTAAATTCGGCTCCCTTAAACCTGCAGTTACCCTGTGGTTAGTATTCTGTCCCCGTTCTACTCACAGCAGGAGTTGTGTGTGACAACGATCAGACGGCTGTGAAACGCGAGCAGCTGTACGGCGTGAGCATGTCCTGAGCTGTAGTGACTCTGCTGTCATGTGACAGATCGGGCTTCTTTGGGACGGTGGTCGAGTACGGCGCCGAGAGGAAGATCAGTCGACACAGCGTGGTGGGGGCCACCGTCAGCGTGGGCGTGCCCCAAGGCGTCTCCCTCAAAGTCAAGTAAGCACAGAACCTTGCTCCAGTTCGCCCCTCTTGTTGCCGCGGTTTCCATGCGAGTCCCGTCTAAGCCAGGGTTCACTTTGAATTCTCTCTCCTCAGATTAAACCGTGCCAGTCAGACCTACCTCTTCCCCATCCACCTCACTGACCAGCTGCTGCCCAGTGCGGTGTTTTACGCCACAGTCGGACCGCTGGTTTTCTACCTCGCCATCCAGCGGCTCGTTATCCGGCCCTATGTGCGTGCCCAGAAGGAACAGTAAGAACACCTCCTCTCTGCATTACCTGCTTCATGCCAGCTTTGTCTCCATCACATCCATTTATTTATCCTTCCTTGTTTTTTTTTTAATATCCAGAAACCTGGAGAAGCAGAGGCAGAGCTCGGCCTCTGACATCGCCAGGAAAAAGCAGGAGGCGGAGGCTGCTGTGAGTATTTGACTCAGTCTAACGTCGTAGCTTAATGTTTGAGTACAGATGTGAGTATTTGTGTCAGAATGCTCTAAAAACAAATCCTCCAGAGCTCCTGCATTAGGATCAGATGCGTCTGTCTGATCCATAAGATGTGTAATCTCAGCGATTGTCTCTTTGTGCCTAACTCCACAGGTTCTGCTCATGCAGGAGTCTGTACGCAGGATCATAGAAGCTGAGGAATCTAGAATGGGTGAGAACCAAGAGCTCATCTCTGACGGTCTTCTAATAGATTTCAAAGCCATCCTCTCTAAAAAACCAAACCAGAGTTTAAACTCTCCAAATGCTTCCTTTAGATTAGAACGCAAGCAGAACCCGAGTTCAACTCTAAATCTGTTTAAAGGAACAGGAACGGTTTGGGCTCGCGTTAGTCAGCAGTGGTGGAGGTCAGGGTATCCGCGGGTCCTTAAAAAGTCTTAAATATGCTTTTCCAAATTTAAGGCCTTAAAAATCCTTAAAAATGACAAATAATCCTTAAATAGAGTTTCCGAAGGTCTTAAATTACCAAAGACCCAATAAACAAGATTATTTTATTTCTATAAAATTTTCGTGAATTTCTAGTTAGTGTTCAGCATTTTTTGTGTACGATGTTGGCGTAAGCGGAACCGTACACATTCAGTTGGTTGTGAAAGGGGGCTGTTTTTAGATGAGCACATTAGCTGGTTAAGCTAGTGGGAGCTTGTGCCATGGGGAAGTGCAAGTTTAATGGTAACTGGATGGCTAATCCCATGTTCATGACGTGGTTAGCACCGGTTCCAGGCAATAGCTGGAAATTATAGCTTAAATTTAATTTTTAAAAATAGCTTAAATTTGGTCAAAGTGGCCTTAAAAAAGGTCTTAAAAAATCTTAAATTTTGGCTCCCTTAAACCTGCAGATACCCTGGGAGGTATCCCTGCGGAGTAGAGGAGAGTGGACGTTCAGCTGCAGGATCTTCTTTGTGACCAAAGTACAGGCGCATCTCAAAAATTAGATTATGGTTAAATATTACATTTCATTACATATTTCAGACCTTTTTTTTGTTGTCATTGTGATGATTTTGGATACAGATGTGAAAGTAAAGCATGGAAACCTCACACAGTCTGGGTCGGTAGAGTTAGCGTTCCCACAGTGCTTGAGACAAATGAGTGGAAGGAAAAGGGCAATGTTCTCCGGCAGCCTTGAAAGGATCATCATGAATGTGGTGGAGCTTCACCAGGAGTGGACTGAGGCTGGAGTTGGACCACTCCTGACCCAGAGGCACCTGCAGCATCTCACCTGAGCTCAGGGAAACAACAGCTGGCCAACGTCCGTTTTTCAAGGGCCAGAGTCTAGAGGAGGAGCGGAGAGGCTCAGAACCCATGCCGCTGAAGTCCAGAGTGAAGTTCCTGCTGTAGGTGAGGGTTTGGGTCCACTGTGGTTTCTGAAGGCCACGGTCAGCGCAGACATCTACTCTCACTCTTGAGACGTGTCTCCGTGTTCCACTGTTACCAGATTCACTTTGTTGGCAGGTTTAACAGAGAAGAACCACCGGGTCCAGCTTCGTTTCACAGATCAGGCATATTTTTCCCAACTTTAAGTTCTATTTTCTGTCGGTAAAGTCGTTCTTCCTGTTTACTTCAAAAGTTCACAGGAAGAAAAGAAAAGGGAAGTGAAGCTAAAGCCGGGAAACCAGGAGATGCTGGTTTAAGGCGTTTTATTCAGGTGATGCAACCATTAACCCTCCCACTGTCCTAATGGGTGTGACCCCTCGAGGAAAGTTGACCATTGAGCAGGGTTGATGGTTTATCCCTTGAGGTCCACGTGGCAGGGGTGAGGTGCTCACTCCTCACCCCTGCCGTGGGTCACACCCATTAGGACAGCGGGAGGGTTAAAGGGGGTTAAGTAGATTATGTTGTTTGTTTTTAAATCAGCTGATCAACAACATCTCACACAGACGGTGTGGTAGTTCAGCTTGTCCTAATTAGCTTCTGACAGCAGAGGTCAGATCTTTAGCAGGTTTAGCATCTTCACTTCCTCTGATCTTTGTTTACCGTATTTTCCAGAGTACAAGTCGCTCCGGAGTATAAGTCACACCAGCCATAAAATGTATAATGAAGAAGAAAAAAACAGATATAAGTCGCATTTTGGGGGGAAATTTTATTATTTTTCTTACAAAATCTGAGACCCAAGCGTTTCACATTGCAAGACAAGTACCGGTAACAATAACAGAATGAACACCGCGGGTGCAGCAGCGCGCCACGGTCTCCAGCAGAGGATGGCGGTGTTTAAAACCCTCCCAGCGGGGCAGAGGAGCTGAAACCTGGACCGGAGCCGGCCCGCAGCAGCGCGGTGTACGTAATTTGGTATATAAGTCGCAGGACCAGCCAGACTATGAAAAAAAGTGCGACTTATAGTCCGGAAAATACGGTAATGGCAGGATGCACACAGATTTTTATTATCATTTGGGTATTCGCAGATAGAAACCACGTCTGCGTTTGGCTTTCCTTACAAGCATTGTTGATGTATCCTGTCTCCCTGTCCCACACGTGGACACAGCTGCAGCTAGCGATGATGGTGCTTGTTCTGGTCCTCTCACCTAGAGGGTCTATATGCTGCTTCTCAGGACATTTTCCAGCCGATGGTTTTGTGACGGGTTGAGAAACGGCATCATATCGCTCACAAAAGTTAAAGGGTGTCGTTTTGTTTTCCTTAACAGGTGGATTTGTTGATATGTATCATGATACCCCTCAGTCCCGCGCTGTAATGTGTCCCCGCTGTCTCCTGAAACAGGTCTCATCATCCTCAATGCCTGGTACGGCAAGTTTGTGACAGACAACAGCAGAAAGCACGAGAGGGCAAAGGTCATCGACGTGACTGTGCCTCTGCAGTGTCTGGTGAAAGACTCCAAACTCATCTTGACAGAGGCCTCAAAGGTAAGCCTGCGGAGTCCACCTGATTGGTTCTGATGCAGGGCCAGAGCTGTGATGTCATCGTGTCTAACCCGGTGTGTGGTGGGGCTCTGCTCGTGTGTCCAGGCAGGACTCCCGGGTTTCTACGACCCCTGTGTGGGGGAGGAGAAGAGCCTGAAGGTGCTGTATCAGTTCCGTGGAGTCATGCATCAAGTCCTGTCGGGAGACACGGAAGCACTCAGGATACCAAAGCAGTGTGAGTGTGCTGGACAGCAGCAGGCTCCCCTCATCTCAGAAAGAGACACTCGTCTGTTATTGTACACATTATAGATTATGGTTCACAGGGATGAACCCTAGAACGAGGCGTAGAAGCGAGAGTTTAAACAGAAATGTTCTGAGTTATATGCATCAGTACTTGGTTTCACTGCTGAGGAAGCCCAGGCCTGCTGAAGCATGGAGACAGCATCTCCGTAACGCTGGAAGCACACCCGTATCACTGCTTCTGGACCCGAGCGTGCGTGTTTGGTGCACTAGAGCTTAAAATGTGTTTGTGTGGTTGGTTGGTTGTCTCTAACTAGGTTAGAGGTCTACCTGCTCTAGCACACCTGGTTTTAACCAGCAGGTCACTGCCAGGCTTCTGCAGGGCTCCATGAGCTGCTGAACAGGGGAATCAGGTGTGTTAGAGCAGGGAAACAACAAAAACATGCTAAGACCAGGATAAGAGACGCCAGATTTAGAGGAACCCTTTTGGTTTGGGTGTGTCACCATGAGATTCCAACCTTTTCACAACAGTAATCAAGTACTCTGAGACTGGACTTTGGGTTCTCATCATCTGTTCGAGATAATCGTCCCCAAAGATAAAGGCTGGAAATATTCCATTCTGGTGATTCCGGGTCCTTTTTAGGAGTTTCACGTTCTGGAAGAGTGGCAAACGATTTTGATCCTGTTGTTGTTTTTGTTTTGCAGCTCACAGGATTGATGCAGACACATAAGGGCTCCTCTGCGATCCAAGGACTCACCTCCAGACTGTTGGACAGAAAATGGAGAACCCCACGTTTTAGAAACGAGTCTTTGTTCCTCGGAGAACACAAATGTTCCTGTTTGTCTTTCTGCTCACTAAGTACTGTGGGTGGAGTTTGGGCTGGAGGTGTCAGTCTCCAGGACCCATGGACAGCATCGTGGCCTGTTGGTATGAAGAAATGGATGGTTGCCCTTCTGAATCAGGGTTCTGCTTTACTTGGTATCCATTTATTTTCTGTATGGTTGTACTGTGTTGTACAACAGCTGCAGTGCCTATATGACTGGAGACATCTCTGTTGATTTGCCATAAAATATTTCTCCTAAGATGCTGAATTAATACCTTGCATATCATTGTGATATTAAATATTGATTCTCATGGTTAATTATTCTCAAGTCTGTTCCTACCACCTACGGGCCTGTTTGGGTATAACGTAGTTTTGCCCAAAACCTTTATCTTTGGGATGTTAAAATGTTATTTCGTCTCATTTGGAAGAGAAACTGGAGAGATGGGATGTGAAGCGATTCAGGAAGAGGGAGGTCTTTGGAGTAATGATTGGTGAAAAAGGGCGTTTCACGTTTAAACACCCCTGTCTGTTGCGCTGGTGTAGATTCTCAGCCTAGTCTGTCCCGGGTGATACCCACTGACACCATTTCTGATTACTGTCCTGCTATAAAACCTTCAGTCTGAAGAGGAAAGGCGGTCGCTGAGGATTCATGGGTTCCATTTCAGGATTTTTCTAAAATGAAGAGACACGAGAAGAAACATCAGAGGTCAAATTCTGAAAAACCTGGAACTTTTTTCACCTCCATCAGCTCCAGATGTGTTTCAAAACTCGGATGTAATGATCTTTGCTGTTTTTATTAAATTACCACAAAGGAATAAGTTATTTTAGGGTTAGTCTGAAACTTTTGTAGTACAAATAAAAGTCCCAAAACTCCCCAAAATCATAGGAATCCTCAAAGGTCCAAAAAACAGATTTTTTTTTTTTGGAAGTCTGCTAGGTAAAAACCGAAAGTTTCATGTTTCTGAATAAATGTTTGATGTTACAAAATGTACAAAATAAAAGTTTGATTTTACTACATAAAAAATAGATGTACAAAATGAAATTTTCCTGTTACAAAACAAGAAATACAAGTACAAATTGAGAATTACAAGTTAGAAAACTTAAGTTACAAGTTACAAATCCAAAGTTACATGTCATGAAACATGTTCCAAGTTACAAAACTTGGTACAAGTTACATTGAATATTGTCCCAATCCCAGCTCAACTTGGTACAAGTTACATTGAATATTGTCCCAATCCCAGCTCCATACTCCTGGGCGCCTCCATGGTGAGGTTTTCCAGGTACGTCCAACCAGGAGGAGACCTGACGGAAGGCCCAGGACACGCTGGAGGGACTATGTGTCTCAGCTGGCCTTGGGATTCTCCCCAGAGGAACTGGCCCAAGTGGCTGGGGAGAGAGAAGTTTGGGCCTCCCTGCTTAGGCTGCTGCCCCCGTGACCCGACCCCGGATAAGCGGATGAAAATGGATGCATGGAACCTGTAAATACTGGTGGGGATAAAGTATATTTGTATATTAGTATTTCAATTTACACACAGTTTTGCTAAATTTCTGGTCATAAATTAATTTAAGAAACAAGAAAAACGTGAGGAGTCGTTTGAGAGCCTAAAGATCTGGTTTGTTTTAGTCAGCGGAGCTGTAAGAACCGGTTCTCCTAAAACAGAGTTCCCCTCACTAAATGTCAAGAATGCTGGGGGAGGGAGAAACCGACAGGTGTGCAAGTGCGTCTGGAAAAAAGTCATCTGAAACAAGTGAGTTCCAAAGTTACACTTCCTACAGTGTTTATCTTTCATTTGGAAAATGCATTTCTTAGAAATAGAACGTTTACTGTCAGTATGAAAAGATTATTATATGAAGTCATCTTTTAGTGGTTTCATCTGGAATTTCACTGCTCTTCCTTGTTGGACACACCTAACTCACTTAGGTTCGGCCAGTTAGTAAAACTTTATAATACCTAGACTGTTTGTACCTGGAGCACGTTATTCTACACCAATCTTTAAAATGCAGTTTGTTATTTGTTAAGCTTTTATCTGACTTCAAAAGTTAAAGAAAATGACGTTTCTGTGTGCTTTTTGCATCTGGACCACCTTGAGTGGTCTAGTTTAACAAAAGACCCCGATGATGTGATCACGTGGTTCTAGCCAGGATTCGAATCCAGATCTTACTGGCAAAACGTTGTTATAACCAGCTGAGCCATACTGAAAAAGTGTACATAAATCTGTCAATCCCCATCTTGGTTTAAGCCTGATATTGTGGGATATTTAGTAGTGTCACGTTCTGCCCCTGCCTTCCTGACTGTCTCTCTCCTGCCCTGATTAGCCCTTATTGTTCTCACCTGCCCCTCGTTAACCTGCCCATGTGTTCCTGATTTCCCTGTGTATTTATACCTCCCTCCTTGTGCCAGTCTTTGTCAGATCATTGTTGTTTGTAGTCATCGTTGTTTTGTTCCTGTCATTCCCATTCCACCATTAAAACCATTTTTATTTTTCATCCGTGCCTGCTCTCCTGCCTCCTGAACTCTCCACCACACATGGTCCATCATCTCCACTCCACCCAACATGACAACTAGAGGTGCTGAAAAAAACGGATTCAAGTCTGAATCGGGATTTCTGTTTATAAAGATTCAGAATTGATTCCAAGAACTCAAATATTTGGCGTGTTACAGGTTTGAGATGCACTTTTTTGGTTTTTGTTAGGAGAGTTAGCACTCCGTTTACTTTAGTGGTCCCACAAATGTAAATAATTCATGTTTGAATCTGCTGATAAGTGGGCACTTGAGTGTAATTTTTTCCATAGTCAGAAATTGAGACACTCATATTCATTTTCTGAGTAGATAAATGAGTACTCAGGATTACTCATGTATTTATGTTAAGTTATTGATAAATGAGAGAACACATTTTCCTTTGTAAGGAATTTGAGGCACTTTTTTTAAACAGGTTGAACTTGTTTCCACACATACTTGAAAAGTATTTGACCGTATTACTTTCAAAGCTTCTGTTGGGTAACTACAGATTTGTTATATTTTACAAAGTAAGCAAAAATAAATGTTGCCTTTTGGTCAAAAGATTGTTTCTGTTTACAGTTTTGGAATCACTTTATTTTACATTGTAAATTAGCATTTTTTTTGAGCATGACCAGTTTAAAGAAAAATAAAAAATTCCCATAGCTTTAACTAACGTGTACAACAAAGTAGTTAATCCTGAACCTGACACTCTTTGTTAATATTGATTGTGAATTGATTTAAATCGAGAATCGATTCTGAATCGAATCGCCACACCGAGAATCGGAATCGAATCAAATCGTGAGTTGCTCTATATTCACATCCCTAGTGTTTACATTCTATTTCTGTAGGATATCAGTCAGGGTTAAAGCTAACAAATGGTGAATTTAATAGTTTTTCATTAAAGCTTAACAATAATCCACTAACATTTTAGTTAATATTTAGATTACATATAGCTCTAGAAAACACTGGCAGGTTTTGAAGCTGTGGAGGAATGGTCCAGCACAGCTGCAGGGGTGGGATGAGCCGAAGATTCGAGGAACAGCACCAGGTGAATTTGATTGGTGCAGATGGTCAAACCAGAGCAGAACCCTGTGGCTTTTCATTGAAACTAAATGTCCTTAAAAAGAATGAATATGAAACAGTATGTGGAAAAGTATTGCCACTCTTTCACAAATCCAAAACAGCATTTCAAAAATTCAGCTAAGAGCTAAATCATTCGGTTCAGGTTGGAACAACTGAAATCAAACTGGTTAAGGTGAATATGGTTCAGTGGCTTCCTACTTTTCAGGTTGAATCTGAACTTAGAACTGAGAACTGTTGTTTCCACAAAAGCTTTGAAAAGGACAACAGCAAGTACCACAGAAGCCGCTAACATCTACAATATCTGGGTCGTTGTAGACACTGGTGCATTCCAGCTGCTGTGTAACTGTAGCCTGTCAAACCACCATATATATATATATATATATATATATATATATATATATATATATATATATATATATATATATAACATCATCATATTGGATGATGTTTCAGTGTAAAATAGTTCATTAATGCACAACGTCCCATATAAGCAATAAAACGAATGTAATCAAATACATGAAAAGTGCCTTGTATACAAATGCAAGTTTAATAGTATATAATAGTATACTAAATGTAATGATATTGTTAAAGATGAGGGGAGGAGCGAGTGGAATCCTGGGGGTGGGGCTTAGCAGTACCCGGAACTATCCTTCAAGAAAAAGGATTCGCGCTGTTCTTATTTTACCGGCGCACACCAGGAAACCACAGACATTTTTACTCAAGCGGTTTCTTAAAAAATAAATAAATAAAAGAAACGACATACATGTTATAGCTCTGTCAAACATTTTGACAAATATACACACGAGGATACTTGGACTCTGGAACATCCGGGACTTTTTGTCAGCGATTACCCTGGGTGAGTCTCGGGGCTCTCTCCAGAAACTCTTCTGAAAAACTAGACTTCACAAAGTGCTTAACTTTCATTTGAAACAGAGATTCCTGAATGGAAGAGCGTTGACTATCAGTGTAAACGGATAATTATAAGAAGTAATCTTTATTTTAGACTCCGAGCTGTTTCATCTGGACTTCAGCTTCACTTCCGTGTTTGTAGAAGGTAAACAACGACCGGAACCGTGACTCTTGTAGGTTTCTAGCAGCGGGCTGGAGACCTAAAACAGCGCCCGTAGAAACGCCTCAGCTCAGAGTTTATTCCTGACATGAAAAGGAGAAGTAAAGGCATGGGGACGACACACAGCACGCCTTCACCTGCGCCAGAGTCATGTTCAAACCAGGCAGTAAGTTCAACACACAGATCAGTTTATTCTGAGCGTGTTTTAGTCACATTTAATCCAGGAACTGCATTAATGATTAAAGCAGGTGGTGTGAGCCGATGGGAGGGACTCATTTAAACTAGTATGTACCAGGCTGAAGTCAGCCTCTCATTCTCCTAATGGGTGATTCACACTGACACTGACCAGAGCCAGTTAAACTAGCTATTGTCTAGACTGTTTTTACCTGGAACAACCATTTCTCACAAAGAGCAGAAACTTTAAAATGCAGTTTGTGATTTTAGCCTTTAGCTGACATTAAATGGCTCAGCTGCTAAAGATGAAGATGGTTCAGTGGCATCTTCTTTAATCAAATGTTGAACTAAGACTAACTTGTCTGAGGCTTTGGGGACTGTGCTCAGCAATCTAAGGCAGTGGTTCCCAACCTTTTTCCCAAGGGACCCCGTTTTTTACCAGCAAAATTTTTGACGACCCCCTCCCATTCTCTCTTCCAGCACAAACAGTATTAAGAAATGATCAAATTGTTCTAGCACATTTTAATATGCTTTGATTCAATAGATAACAGTAATAGTAGGCTCCAGTACAGAACAAAGTCATTAAACCAAACAGAGCATAATGTGCTTGACAGTTTGTATTACGTTTCTGAACACATTGTTTCTTGTAAACACTGATAAATCAATCATTCCTTTCAATAAACGTTTGACACATAAAAAATACACTGATCAAAATGTACTTAAATGTGTATATTACTGTTTATACTAGATTATTTACTGTAAAGGCTGTGATTAATCAACCAGTCCTATCTTTAGTGAACTTTTGACACTTGAAAATAAAACAGTGAGCTGAGCAAAATGTTCTTAAAAGTGTGTTACTTTTTCTGTACTAATTATTTCCTGTCTTAATATCAGTAAACTTTTCACTCATGAAAAAAAAATGTGAGCAAAATGTAGGCTATAAACAAGTAATAAATGAAGTTTTAACCCCTTAAAGTGGAGAGGTCCTGGCGACCCACTGAGAGGCTTTGGCGCCCCCTTGTGGGGGTCGGGACCCCCAGGTTAGGAACCACTGTTCTAAGGCATAAGGGGACCATGCATGAACACCCAGTGGTGCGTATGAAGAGGGACATTTTGTCAGAGACCTGGCTTTGGTTTGAAGTTTTTGTGTCCCCACAAATTCCTTAGAGATGAAAACAAAAGCACCATAGAAGCGGTTTATGTCTACGATGTCTGGGTCATTGTGGACACTGGTGCATCCCAGGTTCTGTCTAGTCTAAAAACTATAGATATGATAATTTTTGTGTTTTGGTTCTTTGCAGATGTTCTCTCTTCCTCCAGACATTTTGGAGGAAATCTTCCTAGATCTGCCCCCTGATCAGGTTGTCTGTGTGAATCGGTTAGTGTGCCGCCAGTGGAAGGAAGTGGCCGATCAGGAGTCATTCTGGAGGGAGAGGTGTAGAAGAGAGGGGTACCACCCCCATGGTGCCTCCAAAGTACCCAGTGACTGGAGGCTGTTTTACTTCTTGTGCAAGAAGAGAAGAAATCTTCTTAAGAACCCAAGAGGGGAAGGTGAGAAGCTGCAAAATTTAGAGCTTTGGGCCATTCTAGTTTTATTTGTTAAAAATAATCATGTCTTGTTTGCCTTTTTTTTAGATACGCTTCGTGGCTGGACATTAACACAGAACAATGGTGACAGATGGACGGTAGATGAACCTATGGTGCCACATCCAAATGAGGCAGTTCAGAAGAACTTTGTGACGTCTTATGGGTGATTATTTACCAGCTGTGATCCGGAACACACACGCTTGAATTCACATGCTTCATACAGCTAACGCACAAGATATTTACTCTCATACGCTGTTGATTGCAGCATGTGCCTCAAGGAGCAGACGGTTGATCTGAAACATGAGGGTTACAGTCCATCCTTTATGGACGAGTTCCAGCCTCCCATCAGAATATCAGACTGGTAAGAAAACGACCCTCACGAGGTGCAGCAACGTGTCCCTGATGTTTGTCTGTAATGTGTTAGGTATGCACCTCGGTGGGATTGTGGCAGCGAATACACGATCTCTGTGCAGCTGCTGGATGAACGGAAAAACGTGGTTCAGGAATTCCATCCTGATATCGTTTACTTTCCACAGTGGAACGATCAGCAATGGTGTCAGGTACTCAAATTCAGCTAGTGTTCTTTCTGCGCACTACGTGACTAACCCCGAAATTCCACTACCTCCGCTCCGGCACGAACTCCGCAGCAAAATCGGTCCCGTTGTAGTCAATCAGAGCTGTTCCACTACTGCGGCCGTGCAGCGCGGTGCGCCATCCGGCAAAAATAGGATCGATTCCATTTTTGCCGGACGCCGGAGCACCTCCGCAGTCAATGGACAGAAATCACAACCGCCCAACAGGAAAGGGAGCAAGCACAACTTCCGTTATTTCACAATAAATCGATAAACAAAAGGCGTTTTTTGTTTCATATGCACAGGTTTAACAACTTTTAACAACTATCAATGGCGGCTGAACTTTAAATGCTCAAAAGTAAGCCATAAATACAGTTTCTACTATCAAAGCAGTCGCCCTTCGTTGATCCAAACACTGCTGATCTCTCAACACAAATGATGGGCAGATTAAACAGCTCATGCCGATGCTTCTCCCACACAACGGGTGTTTGGATCTAACTTCCGCGTTTATTGCTCGGACTGTATCGCAAGATCTCGAAAATCCCGCGCATGCTTGTTTGCGCACCTCAGGTCTCCGCACCGGAGGGGAGCCGTTGTAGAGCGGGTAGCAGTAAAAAATGAGTTCGGAAGCGAGCGGCTGCGGAAGGCGGGGGCGGAGCGGAGGTAGTGGAATTTCGGGGTAATGCTCTCTGTTTTACATGTGTGCTGGTTATTTTGTAGATGACCCACGTATTCCAGAACTATGGACCAGGAGTGAGATACGTCAGATTTAGTCATGGTGGTAAAGACACACAGTTCTGGGCAGGATGGTACGGCATCCGTGTCACAGACAGCTGTGTTGAAGTGTGCCCAGCCCTGGACTCCTAGCCCACTCGTCGATCCTGGAATGGTTTATAACATCCGCTGGTTGAGCATTGGTTGATTTATAATTTTGGCCACCAAAGCTTTTCTTCTTCGACCTTTCAAGTGTTCATGTCTCACGTGGTGAATGTGTCCAAGTGAAAAATTATCCTGTTTTGAGTCATCCGAATATGAACGCAACAGGACGTCAGTTTCACATAAAGGGTTAACGTGTAGGAAAAGATCCATTTCAGAGTTTGATTCCTACATTGGATCTCCTGGAATTACAGTCAGTCCCTATATTATAGTGTTGCTGGTTGCACTTATCCCTCCATCTATTCAGCCGTCCCACCCGACCTTTACAGCTGTAATCGCTTCATCCTCACTCCTCCATCCTGCCTTTAACCGTTGTTAAGGAGTATAACCTACTACTGGAAACATTATACCTGAAGATCAACAGCAGCAGTTTGTGCTATGTACAAATGTTATTATAAACGCACATGTATGTATGTATGTATGTATGTATATAAAGTGCACTTTGAGGATGTCACTGTAGTACGGTTTCTGACCTGGCTTGTCGCTTGTGCGTATTGTACTAACTCCTGCTATTAACCTGACTTTTAATTGACAAATTGGTGTAAGAAATGACTTATGTGAAAATCTAAAGCCCTCCCAAATAATGTTAAATGTACTGAAAAAAATAGTTTCACTGAAAAAAGGATGCATCATCTAATCAAGATAGGTCAAAATCTGGCAAGACAAAAGTGTTGTCGCCTGTACAGAAAATGATCAACTTTACAGCAAATCCTAAAGTATGTCAGCAAATAAAGTGGTGGCGCTGTGAGATCCTAATTTAATACCTTGTATGACTTCCATGAGCTTGAAGGACGGCATCCATGCAGATTGGCAATGATTCTTACAACTTATTGATGAAGTCATCAGGAAAAGCAAACAGTCTTGCATGCCTCCCAGAGTTCATTATTCTTTGTTTTCGTCTTCCATGCTTCCTCTTTCATCCTACCCCACATGTGCTCAATGATGTTCATGTCTGGTGGCTGGGCTGGCCAATCCTGGAGCATCTTGATCTTCGCCTTAAGGAACTTTGATGTGGAGATGGAAGGATGCGATGGAGCACCCTCCTGCTGCAGAATTGGCCTTTTTTATGGTTTGGAATATATGAGGTAGCTAAGATTTCTTGGTATTTTAGACTATTGATGTAGCCTTCCACTCTGCAGATCCCTCGCACACCCCCATACTGGATGTAACCGCAGACCATTATTTTGCCTCCACCAAACTTCACTGTTTTCTGGGTAAATTTCAGCCCCAAGACGGGTTCCAGTAGGTCTCCTGCAATATTTGCGGCAACTGTGGTGCAATTCAACAGAAGATTCATCTGAAAAATCCACCTTCTGCCACTTTTCCAGCGTTCATCCTTTTAGCAGGCTGTGGGACTTGGCAAACACCACACGGGTTTTCAATTATCTTGTTTAGTGCTGGCTCATGGGCACTGATTTGACCATAGAGGCCATTTTGAGACAGAATACGACAAACTGTTCTGGTTGACACCGGGATTTCAGGTGACCAGGTGTCCTGGAGCTCTGCTGCAGTTGAAAATGGGCTTGCCTTGGATTTTTGAGCCAACATACGGTCCTCTCGAGCAGTTGTCTTGCAGGGTCTGCCTGACTTGGGCTTGTCAAAAATGTCTCCAGTCTCTTCAGATCTTTTCTTTATCCTCTGAACTTGATGCTGAGACGCAATGAAGGTGTGTGCCACATCAGCAGTGGATTTGGTCTTCAGCCTCTTGATAATCAGTCTCAGGGTGAATCTTAGGCATGTTTGCAGAGGTCTAGTTGCATTGAGACATCACACAAGTTGCTTGGATTAAAACGACCCATTTCTTGAAACAAAATCTGCATGAGAATTATTTTTTTAGCGGCACTTCGGGTCTATTTGTACACAAGCGACAAAACTTTTGTCAGAACTGTATTTAAACATTTAGAGGCCCCAAATCCAGAACGACTCTGCCCCAGTTCTTGCTACCGCAACGAAGCCAAAGCATCTTTGCTCAAGGTCTGATGCAGGAGCCTGACGGCCGCTTCCTCACTCTGAATCAAGTCAAGCTCCTGGAAGTTCCTACATGACTTTAAACTTATGTTACAATAATCGTGTTGAATGAACATGTTTTTTTTTATTATCTTTATTTCATTCAAAAAAAATAACACAACAGATACTAAACAATATTCATGAAAACACAATATATATTTGAATGAAAGGGAGCAGATAGAAGAAAAAATCTTATTTTTGCCCCCTTTTTAAACTTAAATATCAATTTATATTTGTGCAGTTCCTCACCAGTTCTTTCAGTCCCGTAACTGTTCACATTTGTTAATTATTATGTCCACATCAATTGTCCGTTGTCATATCCACTCAACACACGTGATTTAATGTGTAGACTGAACACTTTTAGAGTTCTTGACTCTTTCCATTCTCTGTCCAGGCAATTCCACAACTTCACACCATTCACAGATATGCTCATTTCCTTCATTCTTGTTCTAAATCTAGGTTTTTTGAAGATTTCAAATCCCTTCAACAAATAACTGCTATCTCTCTTTTCAAATATATGCTGAATATTCTTTGGCAATGTACCTTTATTTGCTTTATACATTATATGCAATATTCTCCAGTTGACCAAATCATGAAATTTAATTACTTTATATTTTATAAATAATGGGTTAGATGGAGCTTGTTTAAATCTAATAATCTGTGCTTTGACCAACGATGCTTTAAGATGAATATTGTAGCCTGCATACTGGCGTCCGATGGTTTTCAGATACAGCTCCTCTGTTAGAACATCTAGCTCCATTACAACACCCCATTCAAAAAAAATCATTTTATTAACTATATACCCGACTGTCTGAATTAATACGAAGTGTGTTTACGATCCCTGAATAAGTAACTAAACATTCAAAGATCAGACTGACATTTCATTTTGAGATGGAATTATCAACCTTACTGGTCATTTTAATACATATGTCAATGATAACCCGACAAATTAGAGATTTACTCATAATACTGGTTTATTGTGCTTTTATTACAAGTAAGGTACAGTACAGTCATGTCAAATGGAATAAAAATCAGATTTCTTTCACTTCTGATTTCAGTGACATCTCTGCTTTGTGGAGCTTTATTAGTAACGCACAGATTTCATACAGGAAGTCATTTACAGATCAGCCCACGCCATCGCCCTACAGTTGGCATTATTCATACAAATATCGGTTCAGTCATTTAACTTTTGTTTTCAAGACTCCAAGCTTGAAGCAATGCAAGTGTGTTTGTTATAAAGCATTTCATTAACTCTGAGTTAAAGGCAGACACGCTTTTTAACTTTAGATCATTCCGTCTAGCGGTAAAGCACTCAGCCGACTTTAAATACTTTGTGATTTTTCTGATTCTGACCTGAATGATGACGTTCAGATCTGTCGATTTTCTCAGGGACACTTTGGTGATCTACAACTGGACTTCTTTCCCACCTGTGGTCTCAGGTGTTTTCAGTCAGGTTCTGTCAGATTAAGCTAAAGCCAATTTTGGAATGAATAAAAAAAAAAGTTATAGACAAGGAGGAGTTTTATTGCCGTTATAAAAGCCGGTGATAGAACGCCTTTTAAACAACTTTCTGGGGACTTCCAGTTATCCATCATTACCAGCTTACGTTCTACACGCTTTTAATAAATGCAGAAAACTATCCTATGCTGCTTCGTTTGGAATAACATTGCCACTAAATTAAACTGTCGAGTAGAGGTTTCCTCTATTGTTGATAGTCGAGATCCTTTCTCTTCTGAGACCATTTCAGTGGAATCAAACGATCCAGGACAGAATAAAAGGGCGACTCGACGTTACGTTACATTTGCCTTTAGGTCACGTCAGCGAGGATGCTAATATTTTATAGTATCTCAACTCATGATGGAATGTTCTTGTGCAGTAGTTAACCTAGATATGGAAACCGATGTGAAGGAGGCGGCGAAGAATCTCAGAGCAGAACACATCCACGTCTTCTCTTAGGTTCGGGAGGCTCCAGGGCAGCCAGAATTGCCTCATCAAACACATTCTTTAATCCTTTCTGTAGAAACAAGATGCCGTTCAAAATAAAAATGTCCCAGATACACAGGAGCATCCAGAGGAACCACATGCAAAATGAGTCTGACTAGAAAGTGAACAGGGCATTCAAAATGTTCCTTTATTCAAACAACATACAAGACTCTCCTCATAGTGACCAGAACCCGTGGAAAAGTTACGATGCAGCAGCAGCAGCAGAGAGAAACTGTCTAAGACAGAATGCAGCTTAGTATTGGTATTATTTCTAAAGGATGTAACAGATGAGCTCAATACTGAGATAACAGAACGTTGTTTCAACTAAAACTCAGTCTAGTTCAGGTAAATCAGGAGAACGGAGGACTCAAGATTGGCACTATCATTTTTAGGCCGCACGGGGAGTTGTGAGTAGGCCAAGATGAACAGAAAGCACACGTGAACAGAAGGGGAACAGTTAATGGACACAGAGCTTTAAACTTTAAAGAGAGAGTGGTTACTTAAGTGAAAGATATTTCTTTACGATGAAAAAGCAGCAGACCATAATCGAGAGGCAAAGCCAGATGCAAGGAGACATCAGAACAAACAGCATTTTCTCTTTCTCTGAGTTTCTGGGGGCTCTAAAGCAGCTAGGATAGCCTCATCAAATACGTTCTTCAGTCCCCGCTACAGAGAGAGAACAAAGGAGAAACAAGTGCACACACAGAGTTAAATCACGCTTTAGCCAGATGCTGTTAACTAAAGACAAGCCAAAGCACTTCCAGCCTTTCTGTTAGTGTTAAATCCATGCTTGTTACACACGTGTAAGCTGGGGGGGGGGGCGCTTACCTGAGTCAGAGCTGAGCACTCTACGTATTTGACTGCCTTCAGGTCACGAGCCAGCTTTTCTGCTGTCTCGGGGGTGATTGGCTTCTGTTTGTTCTTAGCCAACTTCTCCACTGTGGAGGGGTCATCACGAAGGTCAATCTGAGTGCCTACCAACAGGAACGGGGTCTTGGGACAGTGGTGCGTTATCTCAGGAACCCACTGGAAAGGGGGAGACACGAAGATGTCAAAACTCATCTCAGCCATTCAAAGATTACTCTAGATGAACCAGATTATGGAAATAATTGCTCATGGGCGTTTGTGTAAATATTAGACTCATTGTTTAATTTGGTAACGAGGTAAACCTAAAAGATCGTCCCATAAGAATAAAGCTAATTTAACAATGTCACTGAGATAATGATCAGTTTGCAGCGCTGAATTAAACATCCACCTCACATCAGTGCACCGATTCACTAATAATGGTTTTAAACATTCCATCCATTCATCCATCCATCCATTCATCCATCCATCCATCCATCCATCCATCCATTTTAGTCCGCTTAGCCGAAGTCGGGTCGCGGGGGGAGCAGCCTAAGGCGAGAGGCCCAGACTTCCCTCTCCGCAGCCACTTGGGCCAGCTCCTCCGGGGGAATCCCAAGGTGTTACCCAGCCAGGTGAGAGACATAGTCCCTCCACCGTGTCCTGGGTCTACCTTTAGGTCTCCTCCCGGTTGGACGTAACCGGAAAACCTCACCAGGGAGGCGTCCAGGAGACATCCTGACCAGATGCCCGAGCCACCTCAACTGGCTCCTCTCGATGTGGAGGAGCAGTGGGTCTAATCCGAGCACCCCCCGAATGACCGAGCTTCTCACCCTATCTCAAAGAGAGAGCCCAGCCACTCTTCGGAGAAAACTAATTTCGGCCGCTTATATCCGCAATCTCGTTCTTTCGGTCACCACCCAAAGCTCATGACCATAGGTGAGGGTAGGAACATAGATCGACCGGTAAATCGAGAGCTTCGACTTCTGACTCAGCTCTCTCTTCACCAGACATGATTACGCACAAGTGTGACGCGTCAACCCGGCCTCACAGTAAGATCGGGTTGGAACTGTTCAGGTTTACGCAGACAATCTTTACATTTAGAATTGGCATACAGATATAAAATTAATGCAGTAAAATATAAAGCATTTTATTTAAATATCCAGTCATTATTTTACAAGCACAGAGAGCCGCGTCAGATGGATGGAAGAGCCGCATGCGGCTCCAGAGCCGCGGGTTGCCGACCCCTGTTCTACCTGTTGTGGATTTAAAGACATTTAAGTCATTTAGAACAGAGGAAAGAGCCGCAGCGAACTCCGCCGCTGTCTTCGTTGTTTATGAGAAACTGAGCGTCCCTGTGTGTGTGACGTCCGCGACACTGTAGTTTTAGAGCTGTAGTCAAAAATGGCGTCTGGCAAACATCTTTCTTTAGAATAAAGGCTTTTAGCGCTTCTACTTGTTGTTTTAAAGACGTGTCCAAGTCCTTTAGAACAGAGGAAAGAGCCGCAGTTAAGTCCACTTCAGCCGCCATGTTTATGACAAACTCGGCGTTGAGGTGTGTGACGTACGCTGCTCAGCGCTGATTGGCTCGGTTAGAATTCTCAGGGGGCGGGGTTGTTTGAATAGGAGAGTTCCCAGAGCCTTTCTCTGTGCAGAGTTAAACAGAGGAGGAGTCTGGCAGGCCCGGCTATAGTAACCGTGATCACCTGCACTTTACGACTAAACCATTATCTGAACTATTGTCCTTGTCCAACCATACATGGAAAATATTTTATTTACTGACAGAGGCATGTCTAACTCTGCTTCAACTGGTCTTTTAGCTTTTCCGTTTTTGGCCTTTTCCCTTCTAATCTTTCCAAAAGTAAAGTACGAAGCTAGCATCTATTGTTTATGTGATAATCTACCGTTTCTACTAGGGATGGACAATATATCGGCATCAATATCGGTATCGGCCGATGTTAGTCATTTTAAAAAAAAAAAATATCGGTTCGATAAATAAAACCGGGCCGATATTAACAACCGATATTTTTTCCATCTTGTCTCCATTTGTTTGCCTAATTCAGAGGGTGAGGGGGGTGATGTATAATTGTTTAGTCACGTGAACAGTGAATTAAATCATCTCAGAACTATAAATGTGTGTGTTGTGTGTACATAACGTAAAATCAGCTTTTAGAAGCATTAATGTCAGTGTATCGGAATCGTCCCAAATATTTCATATCGGTGCATCACTAGTTTCTACATGCCGAATCCATTTAAAATGAGCCATATAAGTGTTCATTTGTTTCTATTTTAAGCTAGCAAAACAAAACAAATCTCAAATAACACAGAAGTTATGTAAACTAATGTTATGCTATTTAAACCACCAAACTCAGACTATATTGGGGTTGGTGTGTACTATTAATTAGCTATTGTTTCAGCTGATGTGAGCATCAGCTCTGACCTCAGTGCACCTCGTGATCCTGGTACTGGCAGTCCATTGGAGGGCCTTTGACTCAAAGCCTTAGAGTGATTTGTTTTTTTCCGCTTATCAGCTTTAAATGAGAGTAAGAAGTGATGCAATTCAAAACAGCAATTTTCTTTTATGCTAATGAGGGAGTGACTTCTGTAGCAACTACTTCTTTAAAAAACGAACCTTGCTTACAACAGAGTAGGATATGACAATATTAGAAAAGCCAGTAAAAACTCATGTCATACAATTACTCACCTTTTCTTTAACGTTCTCAAACGAGGACGGTGAAACAACTGAAAAACAGACTAGAAAGACGTCGGTCTGAGGGTAGCTTAGAGGTCGTAATCTGTCATAATCCTCCTGACCTACACAGAGACCAGATGAAAAATGTATTCAGCGAACAGAAAAAAAGAATGTGTCAAGTTTAAGCGTGTTTCATACTAGCACTAATATCTTTGTGCAGCTGACCAATGTCATTATGTAATATTCTTCCATTACAAAAACAGATGGTTAATATCATGGAATATTACACTGTGCATTAAAATTAGTGGAGTTTATGAACCTATACAGAAAACACAAACTAAGTTTTCACTTATTTGACTACACAATGATTGTTAGGAAGATTGTGTTTGTTGAAGTAAGCAAATCAATGTTAAACGTACACCTTAGAGGGATATAAAACTGGAGACACCATACCTGCTGTGTCAAACAAGCCCAGGGTGTATGGCTCACCCCCGATCATTACAGTAACTGCATAGTTGTCGAACACCTACAACCAAAGCGTTGAATTAGTGCCACCTTGGAGAGGAAATCTGACTTTATTTGTGACATACTGTCCAGCAGAACTTACTGTCGGTACGTATTCAGAAGGGAACTTGTTGGTGGTGTACGAAATCAATAGGCAGGTTTTTCCCACTGCTCCATCACCCACCACCACACACTTGATAGTCTGCATCTCTGTGCTTTCTGCTGCTACGGGCAATGTCGTAAGCTGCAGGAAGAGGGGGAGGTGATACCTCTCAAAGGTTAGGCCGATTCACATTTAAAATGTACACAAGCTGCGACTCTAAATAATGTTGGGCGCGTCTTGCCCTTAAAATACTAATATTAGCCTGTTGGACCAGTAGGACTCCATAGAAAGACAGTTTCCTCACATTAGCTTATCCAGGCACACCCCATTTTCATCAAAACGGTCCGAAAGCTAACGCTAGCGATGTTGTGCTTTTCACTATAATAATCTGTCTTAAACTACTTTTTGGGAAAACAGCTATAGCTCCATAACATATCGTGGGGTTCTTTAATCTAACCAGCAACACAATGCAGCAAAAATGTGTTTGTTTATAGTGTAACAAACTATGCTAACGCTATCGCCAAACAACGCTACTCACAAAGTTAGCTTAGCACACTGCCAGCTAATGGTTTACGTGTTAGCTACTGCTAGCCCATTTCGCTTGGCTAAAACAAAGCTTTAGAGAGAGAGCTGATAAGTCAAATGACCGAACACCAAGAAGAGAGGACACATTTGGGCAACATACCTGTGGATAAGTTAGCTGTTTGTTTCGCCGGGCGTTGGCACCAGCGAGCTTAAACAAGAGCCGAGTCCTTCCTTCCACTGGTCAAGATACATTGGCCAACACAGGAAGTTGTCTTCACAATAAAAACCAACATCAAACACCAAACATCCAAAATCTTCATACTGTGAAAGAATAAAGCAACAGCAATAAACGAGCGTCAAATTAAATAACATATTTTCTATACTGTACCTATTTGTTCCGGTTTTCGCTTTTAGACACAGAAACAAAATGCACTATGCTTTTGTTTTGAAAACCCACACTCCCTTGTCATGCTGGGTGTCTTTTCATCATTTTTGTTTTCCGTGAGTGGTTCCAACTGGTTCATGTAGCAGGAGCAGTGATGTCACCTCACATCCCTCTGACCTTGTATCCTCCCCAGAATGAACATTTGCTCTGATGGATGAATTTTTAATGAAACCCAAAAACAGGACCTCAACAAACAAAGTATTTGTGATACAAATGCGGTATGATCTTAGAAATGATAAATGACCTGCACTTGCATAGCACCTTTTTGAGTCAGAGGACTCCAAAGCACTTTATACTACAATGAATCACTCATCCATTAACACACTGATGGTGATAAGCTACATTGCAGCCACAGCTGTCCTGGGGCATGCTGGCAGGAGCGTGGCACCTGCACAGGCACCACAGTCCCTCCCACCACCACTAGCAGATATGGAGGGTGAAGTGTCTTGCCCAAGGACACAACAACTGACATGACTGACAGAGCCCAGGATCAAACCCACAAACCACAGGGCGAACTCCTAACCCCTGAGCCACCGTCACCGCAAAGGGATAAAATTTCTTTTATTGTATTGGTTGCAAGGTACCATTTATGGTAAAAATGCTGTGGATGATTTCATATGTCTATAATAAATGGACGAGTTACTCTGTCCTCTTTAATCCTTTACCACAACACACAAATAAAAATGTGTTTGATAACATCACTGGTTATTATCACAGCCCTGTTTACAGAATATATCTGTTGCATTTCATGTTTTTGTCCTCCCTATTTTGAAAATATCTGCGATCATGACTGGTAAGGTGATTATACCTCACCTGACTACCCTGACAGGTGAGTTATTAGGAGGATGAAACAGAGGCCAATGTGGGAATGTTGAATTGTAACAAAATATAATAAATAATAGAAAAATGAACAAGATAATAATCATAAAATAATCTTTATTCTTTGTTGTTTTTAAATGTTTTGAATCCCACATTTAGAAATAAAAACAATGTAACTGGGATTTCATAGTCAAAAAAGAATGTGTCTAAAATAAATCTGGAAATATAGCCAAGAACATCATTTATACAACAATGCAAACTGGACCCAAAGTTGGGCATGGCACTGGCACAAAAATGAATGATGGTTCAATAATTTAAACACCTGAATCATTCAAAAGAAGCTTGAAAGCTGCCAACTATTGCTTTCATCCTCATACACACACTGAATGAACGCCCTCTGGGTGTCTGTGGCCTCAGCAGGACTCTATATAACGTACCCATGTCACAAAAGCACACTGCAGCTCATTAATATCTGAGTTGGGATGGAGGCATTGCTGTTGCAGGCTGCTTATCTGGTCCTTTTTGCAGCATTTATCCTCCACACAGATAGGATTGTAACCAAACAAACTCACATGATACAAAAGCCCATCTGCCGTTGAGCTGCCCGTGGAAGGTTGCAAATAAATACAGCTAAATCCCACTCTAGTTGGTTTTGAAGGGGGAGTCTACGCATTGCAGCATTGTATGTGGAAACATGCAATTATTCGTGTTGTTTACTTGTACACAAGTCTGTTAATCATCAGTTCATTTAGACCGGGTGTGATGGAGCAAAAACATCTCAAGTGCAGCGTGGGGAGATCCTCGGACTCTACAGGAGTGACGACAAAAAAAGTGTATTGATGTCATCTCAAAACAGTCCTGGTGGTTCATGCCAGTTATCTTTTCAAATAAACCTTCGCACAAATTTAATTTCATGGCAGAACAATTTCAGAATTTGCTACCTGACTTTAGCCCTGCATGAACCAGATGCGCTAGCTCTGCTGCCGACTCGTAAACAACCACAGTTCTGCTTAAACACTGGCACAAGCCAATGGCAGAACACTTTATGTCTGCTTTCAGACTAGTGGCTAGCTCATCAGTACCTTTGGACTTAAACTGTTTCTGCAAACCGAAGTTGTTCAGAAAGCTAACTGCTAAAATATCGTCTTGCATCTTTTCCGCAGACAGTTAGCCTGGCAAGCCAGACTAAATAAATGTATTATTTAGTCTGGCCACGCTCCATTGACGGCTCTCGGTTGTGGGGCGGGTTCTACTGTTGTCTTTCAAATGGTCTCCGCATTCCACTGGACGATGAATGTGACACACTCTTGTTTCACTCTGTTGCATCATCCCACCCACCAGGCATATAGAGTGCTCTGATTGGCCCACAAAGCGGATAAAGCTCTGTGATTTGTTCACTAAGCAGATAGAGCACTATGATTGGCCCACCATTATGGACCAATCACAGCTCTTTATGTGTTTGGAACCCCTCTAGAGAGCTGTGATTGGCTAGCCAGAGTCCTGGTAGGAGCTGCGGAGGTTCCAGTGGAGCGTGCCTAGACCAAACTTTGCAAAGCAAGAATTTGATCTAGTTCACTAGGCTAGCAGACAGTCTCTTTAAAATTGCTTTTACATTCAGTTGTTTGAACTTACCCTTTTACTTGATTATAAACTTTCACGGTTTAATAATGAAATTGAATCAAGCAGAAATGTGAAAAGGCAGCAGCAGCAGCCGATCACCCATGTAAGCGACACCTTTGGGTTTACAGCAGATTTCTTCAGCACTTATAGTGACGACGACTCCTGCCTCCTCATCATCAGTGATGAAGAACCTATCTGTGGCTTTCATGGTCACCACTATTATGGAAGACTTTGCACCAGTACTTGGTGTGTTCCTTCAGCAAGAGAAGGTCACCGGGCCCCTGAGTGTTGCAGCCACTCCTTCAGAGCCACCAGCTGAGCTGGTCAGCCACAGCAAACTCAGAATTAAGCTGAAACAAGCAAAAGCAACATGTCTCATATCAAATCAACATTTGGTTGCTTTACACAGAAGCAGAAGATGATCTTTTATGTAGCGCCTCTCAAAACAAAAATGACGGGGTGCTTCACAGAAATAAAAATAAAACAAAAACAATTTTTTTTTAAGATTTAAAAAACAATTAAAATATGTTTAAAGGGAAAAAAGAACAAAAAATGTAAGGAAAGGGAGAGAGAGTGAATGAGAGGGAAATCAATGGATCCCGGGAAAGGTGGAATAAGAAGAGAAAAAGGAGATGGTGATGAAGGTCACGCAAAAGCCAGCTTGAACAGGTGAGCTTTCAGCTGCTGCTTCAGCTGTACCTTAAATAGGATTAACCAATCACAAGGCTGAGGAAATATTCTTCTTACATATTTCTTAACACACAAAAATTATTTTTTTCCTATATCTTTGAATTTCTGAAAAGTAATTTAATGCTTTATCGAAAACTCTTCTCACAGTTTCATTAAGTTAAAACAGCTTTTTTACAGCAGGTGGCACTAAAGAACCAGCTACCGGCTCCTTTAAAGAGCTGCTGATCAACGGCTGTGGATTTAAGAAAGGATTGCTTCGCTTCTCCACATTTATTTCATCATCTGGCTCCGAACACAGGCTGCTCAGTCACTTTGTGATTTGTACAGGTCCCGCTAAAAAAATTAGCATATTGTGATAAAGTTCATTAGTGTCTGTAATGCACTGATAGACATTAGACTTTCATATATATTAGATTTATTACACACAGCTGAAGTAGTTCAAGCCTTTTATTGTTTCTAATATTGATGATTTTGGCGTACAGCTCATGAAAACCCAAAATTCCTATCTCAAAAAAATTTGCATATTTCATCCGACCAATAAAAGAAAAGTGTTTTTAATCCAAAAAAGTCAACCTTCAAATAAATACGTTCAGTTATGCACTCAGTACCTTGTCGGGAATCCTTTTGCAGAAATGACTGCTTCAGTGCGGCGTGGCATGGAGGCAATCAGCCTGTGGCACTGCTGAGGTGTTATGGAGGCCAAGGATGCTTCGATAGCGACCTTAAGCTCATCCAGAGTGTTGGGTCTTGCATCTCTCAACTTTCTCTTCACAATATCCCACAGATTCTGTATGGGGTTCAGGTCAGGAGAGTTGGCAGGCCAATTGAGCACAGTAATACCATGGTCAGCAAACCATTTACCAGTGGTGTTGGCACTGTCAGCAGGTGCCAGGTCGTGCTGAAAAATGAAATGAATCCAATCCAGTTTTATTTATATAGCGCATTTAAAAAAAGCATGTCAGCTGACCAAAGCACCACAAAGAGATAAACCTAAAAAGCATTCAAACTCACATACATATGCATAAAACACAAATTAAAACTGTCATAAAATAGAAACACCTAAAATCAAAACAAAAGTTAAAACAGCCAATAAAAACAGAAGTCAATGAAAACAGACGTCAGTAAAGACAGAAGAGAGGCACAGCATAAAAGAACGGTCATTGGCCAAAAGCTAAATTAAAGAAATGTGTCTTTAGGCTGGATTTAAACTGTGCCAGTGAGGAAGCCTGGCGTACCACCAGAGGGAGTGCGTTCCAGAGTCTGGGAGCAGCAAAGGCGAACGCACGCTCCCCACGAGCTTTATATTTCAAGTATATTGACAAGTATAAGGGGGCTAGCCCATTCAGGGCTTTGTAGGCAAAAGTTAGAACTTTGTATTGTATTCGAAAGTGCACAGGAATCCAGTGTAGATCATCCAGAATGGGAGTGATGTGACAGCGTTAATTTGTATTGGAAAGAAATCTGGCTGCGGCATTCTGGACTTTCTGCAGACGATTTAGGACAGACACATTTGCACCGATAAGAACTGAGTTGGAAAAGTCGAGTCTGGAAGTGATAAATGCATGAATAACAGAGTCTAAGTGCGGCCTCACAAGAATGGGCTTTAGTCCGTTAAGGCGACAAAGCTGGAAGAAGCAGGATCGAACAGTGGCATTAACATGTGTACTCACTGACAAATCAGCATCTAGTTTAACCCCAAGGCTGGTCACACAGGAATTAAGG